GTTACATCATGACCCTGCCATTTGGCAAAAAGGTCATTAACTGAGGTGAATGGGACATGTCAGATGTACATTGCATAAGTTCTAATGAAACTGAAATATTGTCAGATAGTCATTATTTGTGCCTACAGACAATGAAATTGTATTGGTAGATTTAGTTTTCTTGCATGTTTGCAGAATAACTTAAATTATTAAATTACCAAAGGATTCAATGAACCAGTTTTTGTCTAAAGAACATTTGCATAATGCATAGATTTATAATTTGAAATATATATTTAATCTCACATGCTGTAACTGCAGAAAAACATGCGGTAAAGATAAATTTTAGTCCGATGCACATTTATTTATAATAAAACAATATAGGCAGCAGAATCATTCATTAGAAAACAAGTTACGCTTCTAAAGAGAGCCAGAAATGTAAACTACCATCCATAAATAACCTGTTTAAGCAGAGACATCTTAATCAAATACCTTTATGTGGTGTGTCTAATTTTATGAGCAGTAAACAGACATTACCAGAAGCTCATCCATGCTGGTCTGGCATTTCTCAAGATTGATGCGTTTAATGGCCACCTTCTCTTTCCTGGGTTTGCAATATGCTGCCTGGACCACAGCTGTTGCTCCACTCCCTATATAGCAGCAAAAAAAAGATCCAAAATGTGTGTGTGTGTTTTTTTTTTTTTAATCACTGATTTTGTAATACAAACAAAAATCTGCATATGAAATAACATACTAAGAATATATTAGAGAAGACAGATGCAGAGAATCGTATATCTACAATCCATAGATGAAATATGTGTGTTTTTAAAGAATTTTTTTTTTTACCTTTTCTCTCTTTTTTTTGTTGTTGATAATTTCGGTTGTAACCGCATACATTTAGCCAGAAGTGTGTATTTTTATTGGAATTTTAATATTTTACCCTTATTTCCTTTTACAAATCTATTTTACACTAGGTACACAAAGTAATTACACACAAAGTAGTTATGATCAGGAATGTTGGTAAAAAAAAATTACTCCGTGAAAGTGGAAAAATACTAATATGTTTTCTCTTATAGATTCAATAAAACTGCTAAAAAAAATAATACATCAAAAGCAATGTTGTTGTTAAACACTGACACACCCATTGACAGACTATAATAATAATAATAATAATAATAATAATAATAATAATAATAATAATAATAATAATAATAATAATAATAATAATAATAATAATAATAATAATAATAATAATAATAATAATAATAATAAATCTGCTTAGCATTTAGTATATGGAAAACAATGAATGTCTTGTGTTTTTTCTCATTAAAACACTGTTGTCATTATGTAAACAAACTGTCAATTAAAGTGTTACATGAATTCATTTTTTGTAGTTATGATTAGGACTGATGTTGGAAAAACTCAAAGTGTGGAAATTTTTTTTATATATAATATTTTTATGACTGCTGTTTTTGTCCTCTAAGGGCCTCCGTGTAACGTTTTTTAAAATGACACATAAGGGTTAAAAAATATAATGGAATATTTATTATATTGGTACCCCTAATGCTAACTCAGATGGCTGAACTAGTTGTAAAAATTGAGTCATGTTTTAATATGCATTCATTTCAGATTATACTACACTTTCTTTTATTCATGTTTCTCTTTCCTTCATCTTAATGACAACTTCCCTCCCTGAAAGATCAAATGCAAATGTCCCAGAACAATAAAACCAGCTCTGGTTATGCGTTTAGAAGTTAACTAGCT